CCGGACAGCCCGGCCGACAGGCGTGCTGCCGGACAGCCTGGCCGACAGGCGTGGTGCCGGACACCTCAGCCGGACGGGACACATGCAGTCCAGCACTGTCACACACCACAGTCCGACATGAGACATACAGACCCACCACGCACCCAGACATAGTCGTGCTGCGCGGCACGTCTACACACCGCGGGCCGGCGTGCCGTGGCGGTGTGGTGGGCCGGCGCCATCCGTCCGCGCCGGCTCTTACCTCCGTTGGCGACGGACGCAAGTCCTCGCGGTCGCCCTCGGTGTACACGCCGGCCGAAAATAATCGGCCCGTGGGCCGGGGACGGCGAGTGAGGCGAGTCCCGTGGCTGACTTATCATATGGGCAGCCATGCAGTGATTTCGGCGCCAAAACCAACGTCGATGCATCACTGACTAATCGTCACTATCCTCTATATCCCACTAGACGATCTTGTCTACGATAAACAAGGTAATTCGAGATGTGCTTGTTGATATGAAACCTTCTTTCAGTCAGACATTGGTGTTCCCAGGGAAGTGACTGAGTTATGCGTGCGTCTGACGGGACTGTGACTCACTCAGTCACGTATCCCCTAGAGCAAGCTTAATGTAACCCTGCTGCATGCAATGTCCGGTCAGGACATGCATTTTGTGGGGACATGCCAGCTAGATGGTTCCGAAATGTCACTAAATCTTAGCGCTCTGAATAAAATGGTTTGGTCACGGGACGTGAAATACTAACAACAACAAACACACACCGACTATTCCCACCTCGCTGCCTGGCACGAACTGCGGGCGAGTGAGACCAGCGCCTCGCCACCCTACAGTGGTCAGGTAAGACCAGCGCCTCGCCACCCTACAGTGGTCGGGTAAGACCAGCGCCTCGCCACCCTTCAGTGGTCGGGTAAGACCAGCGCCTCGCCACCCTACAGTGGTCGGGTATGACCAGCGCCTCGCCACCCTACAGTGGTCACATCTCTCGGTATTCAGCGTCATAGTGGGGACCGCCAAAAGCGTGATCGTAATCGCGATCAAGCACATTAATCGCTCCAAAGTCACAGAGCTGGGTTGGGTTCAGGTGAGCTAAAAGGAACAGATGCCACACAATCTTCAAAATTCTGCTACTTCCAAGACAACTTTGAATAGTCGTAAACCCCCCAAAATGGTAAGATCTTTAGCCTATCGCCATGAAGTCTTGTCTACCAGATTATAACCATTATTTTGGCACATGCGCAGTCACGTGGATAATGCCCGATTCCCTTAGTCCATCAACATTTGATTGGAAGAGAATCTACTACAGCTGTGGGGAAATTACGACCAAAACTACTGACGCCATATTGGCAATGGATGATTCTGGAGATGTCACTGAACTCTACAGATTTTTAACAAGTCAGAATCGTTGCCATGATGAAGGCTGCTCCACTGAAGGCCAACAACCAAGCCGAAGAGATGACTGAGAGATGGTGCGCCTGTTCATGGACACGCAAACCCTTCAACATATCAATGATTTTAAAACCCAGGTCAGTGATGACGTCAGACGAAATTGGCTTCCTTGAGTGAAACAGGGGCACGAGAATAATGCGTCCATCATCCAAAAACATATTTCAGCTATTGCTCGTCAGCCCGTGTCCTGCTTCGCTGAGTCGCATGCGGCGTGGGCGAGTCTGCCAGATTTGACCGGACTCATTAGCTAATTGCGGTGTTAAATTTAATAAGTCATACCCAAACCGCCAACGTGCGGGCAGAACGCAAGACACAGTCGCTAACCATGCATCAGCGTAGTCAGAATCTGGGATGGAGTGGTGGCGTAATGCGAAAGGGCACTGAGTCAGGGGGCACAGATGACAGTACTGGTGGCATTTGGCTTTTTGTGAGTCACCTTAGCGCGCACAAGTATAAGGGGGCCTGCCTGTTTTGCATTCTTTCATTGCACTGAAGCCTGCACCTAACCAAGGTACCAGACAGAGGCAAAACGACCGTAACAATTCGCATTTTGTCAAGAATACGTAGGGAGACGGGTTGTTGGGAGAGGAGACGAAGGGAGACAGCAACAGGCGAAAACAGCTTCTGCTAGCCGTCTTCTCTGGTTAAAATAAACTGTCACAAAATACTGGCGGCTAAAGCTAGAAGACACTGGAAAAAGCTCAACAGAACATACTGTAAGCTTATGACATGAAATGAAACAGCAATAGCCGGCAGCAATATCCGCCACCCCTTAAGCATGGCTATTGTGGTCGTGGTGTCTGTGTTGAGAACACTGTAACAGGTATTAAGACTGGTTAACAGACCAATGTCACATTATGTCAAAACTTGTTAAAAAGATGAGTGCAGAGATTGTTCTTTGCGAAAGTACAGATAAAAATATAAAATGTAAGGGCATCGGTTGGCACGTGA